TGGCACTGGAGGCTGTAGGGGGGCACTGAGGTGCGGGAGCTGGGGGCTCTGTGGGTTTGGGGGAGCAGGGGGTGGGCAAGAGGGCTGGGGGTGCAGAAAATCCCTGTGTGGGTTCGTAATGGGGGAGCTATGGTGGGAAGAGGGGCTGAGGGGGGTAGGAGGGAAATGGGGGGCAGAGTGAGAGGGGTTTGAGGGGGCTGAGGTGTAGGAGCAGGGAAGCCCTGGAAGGTGGGATGGGTTCAGGGGAGCCCTGATGGGGGCAGGACAAGGGGTTCTTAGGAGGAGCCATAGGATCTTGGGGGAGGCCGTCATGTGGGAATTCACGGAGGGGAGTTTTCAAGGGAGTACCAAGTGGGCGACCCGAGTGGGACAGGCAGGGAGCAGGCAGAGGGTCTGGGGGGGTCATGGAGGAAGGCACTGGATCAAGATGGAGATACAGAAGCTTGGAGGAAGGGGCACAGGGTTTGGGGGTTTGTGTGGGAGAGCAGGGATGTGGCTATTGAAGAAAGCAAAGGAGCTTTAGGTATTTGGGGGGGGCAGAGGACCCTGGGGGTTCAATTGTGGAGTGGGGCGCTGAAGGAGGGGGAATAACAGGAGGCCTGGGGGGAAGTGCAAGAAGGAGGCAGAGAGCTAAGAAGCAGGGGGATTCAGCCCTGAAGGGGTACGGAGAAGAGTGTGGCATCAGAGAGCCAAGGGAATACTAGGGAACAAAGAGGGGAGCTGCTGGGTCAGAAGGGGATATAGAGCAATGCGGAGTGGAGCAGCAGGAGAGGGCAGAGTTGCCATGGGGGGAAAGGGGCATGGCTCCAGGAAGTCCCTTGCCCAGAGCCATGGAGGCGTGGGAAGAGGGGGGCACAGAGTTGGAGGCGGCTGTGTTTGTAGCCCAGTAGTTCTGCACCAGCACTCACAGCTGGAGGGGGTTTTGTCTCCCTCCACTTTCTTTTCTCTTTCTTGTTTTTAGGAGTCAGAGTGTAACCACCTTTGCCCACCAGACTGTGGAATATGAAATTGCCCCTGGTAACTAATTCCAAAGCTGATTTCTGTCCTCACTGGCGTGTAATATTTTTTCCCCACAGGCTAGAGTGCAGCCCTTAGCTGGCTAAAGTGGCCTCCGAGTCCTTCCCCCACCCCGTGCTGGGAATAGCAAGAGTTTAGGAACTGGCACCTTTTTGGCAGCCACAGCGGGGATATAATTCTCTGGAGCTCGTGTTCCTCTGTAATCTTTCCAGTAGTGACCCATCCTGTTCTGATATTCATGTAGGGCCGGGAGCAAAACTCCCTACGACTTTAATATGAGCAGGACTGGGTTCCTATCTTAATAAGCACCAAAGTGTTAAAATGTTCATGGAAAAACTGGACCCAAGAATTGTAATCAGAAAGAGTTGCAATTCGGCAGAATTCCTATTGCGAAGAAGCAGTGACTTCTTTTTGTAAAGTTTACCAAAGTTCCAGGAGCGATGACCGTGATAAGCTAGACAAAAGTCCCACATCTGCGGACTTGGAGAAATGGCATGTCTTAACATAGGTCTCGATCCTGCATCGATTTATGCACATGCCTAACTTTATGCATATGAGCAGTGTCACTGGGACTCAATGGGCCTCCTCGCGTGTGAAGTTAAGCACATGCATAAGTCTGCAGGATCGGGGTCATAGTTAGCAAACTCTTAAAGAGCATATACAGAGCGTGAGGTCGGATAGATACAGCAGAGGGTGGAATTTCTCTGGCATCTTCCACTATACTCTCTCTCTCTGCAAAGAAATTGCTGCAGAGAAATCATATTATAAGAGTAGATGTAGCTGAGCACATGGGTTTACATTCTCTGAGGCTTGGCCCACCTCTGAGATTCTCTTATGGTCTCCCAGGCTTCAGACTTTCCTGTGCAGCCTGGCATTATTCATGGCTCTCTGCAGTTTATTTTTAAATCTGTGCTCTCTTCCGGCAACTGAATTCCTTTGTCCATCTCCCTTACCCCCCTTTCTGGCTTCCTAGCTAGGGGTTAGTCTAAGATTTTTACCATCTGTGTTTCATTGTAAAGAAAGAGGAGCCAACTGAAAGCAAAATGATTGCTCCCTATGTCTGGAGAGGGCTTGGACACCTTCCGTTATTTAAATGACCAGTGATGACTCCTCTGGAAAGAGAAATGTTGTACAGTGTTCAACAATTGTTCGTTCAGGCTATTCAGCGTGGACTCAAGTGTGATGTGGCTCATTCACTCAGTAAGCCTTTGGGTGCCCTCTGGGAGCTCTTGATTGTGATCACTTGTGGCAATGAGAGAGTCTTTCCGCTCCCGTGCTACATTGTGTGAGCAGTAATTGGAGACGCTTCAGGTGTCGATCAGAGTCCACAATGGTGGCGACACAGCCATCTACGAGTACAGATGTATTTTAAAAATAAATGTGGTGCTGGTGAACCAAGCTCCACTAATCTCCCAGGAAATTAATGGGCTCAGTTCTCAGGACTTGGAGGGGAGCCACTTCTAGGGGTGATGGGTGCTGTTCGGTCTCCATGAACTAATCAACCTTTGCGGGTCTCTGAGATTGTCACGAAGGATGGCTGTCTTTGCAAGATGGGTTTATAATGCACCTATATCCATAACATAATCTTTTTTTGTGTTAAAAGGTATTTAAAAGGGACACTGTCAAAGTTTACAGCCTTCAAATTAAAATCTTCCTGATAAATATATATAGTACAGTTTTCCTATTTCTGAAAAGCGTTCTCAGTTCTCAAAAAAACCCAACGGTTATAGTAATATTAAAAAATTATTCTTCTCTCGAATAGCCAGCCAAGAAAGGTGATAGATAAATTCCATGCAATATACTATGTGTGTTTTTTTTTCACTTGAGACCCTAACTAGTGGTGCTGTCTGTTCTGCATCAGAGATCACGTGGCACTTTTCATAGTGGTAGAGAGTTTGCCCTGTCTTTCTTAGCCAAAATTTCTCCTCCCTCCTCTTGTCCTGGGAAGTGAAACAGCTGGCATGCTGCTCTCTAGAGATGGTGGTGGATAGTGGTCCTCGTATATATGGCTTGTAAACGGCTTCGGGATCTTTTGGCATGTAAGATGCAATAGAGCCTAATAAACTCAACTCTGCATGCTTGCTCTTTCTTGTCAGTCTGTGAGATATTGAAATAGACAAGAAGCCTGGTCTGGGAATCCCCAGGAAAAAGAAATATGGGATGGGTCCAATTTTTACCTCTTAAAATAGGAGTATGGAGAGCAGTAGAAATGTGGCCATATAAGAGAGCATTTTATTACCTCTAATTTTCTTGATGCGTGAAGCATCGGGAACAAGAAAATTTAGAAAATGTTGGCCCTTAGAAGCAAAGTGTATTGGCTGCAGCATTGGTTTTTTTCAAATGAATACATTGGATTGGGCTCCATTTGGCTTGCAAATCAACCCAAGTACACAATATTCTTGGTTTGTGTACCAAAAGAGAGAGCGAGAGATACACGGGTACGCTTGTTTTTTATTGGGAGAATGCGCACTTTCTTGCTTTTGTAGAGTAACAGAATCCTAACCTTTTCCTTCTGCCCCCTAGTGTCCCATGGCAGTCAGATGATAAAGCACAGAGGAGAAGGCCTGTCTGTGAAATTGAAAGTCTATGCAGCCTTAAACCCTTCAATAAAATGTAACTAATTTGAGAACAATTCTACTATTGTTGAATCTGTTTCATTTGGTTTCCTGAAGTGAACTGGATACTTGGTGGTGGTGAAACTCTGTATTCTCTTTCTTATTTAAAATGGAGAATGTTTAAGGTGATTAGGTTTCAGGTTCAACCCTGTGGAACAGATAAATGTCCAGTATCCAAACATTCTGGAAGCTGTCAGCATCTTAAAGGTAAACATACCTTTTAGTTTAATCATTGGCACGTCTTCTGAGACTGCTAACAAAGTAGTAGCATTCTTTTTATAATGTAGACATGCATCAGCTACGACTGGGCCAGAGATCCACTAACTTATTTTTATCGGCCAGCCATCAGATGGCAAGCTTTGGTGATTTACTGATTTGGAGATGAAAGGCTATTTGTTCTTCGTCCCTTATTACAACAGTATGTGTGTTTAATAAACAAAGCATTCTAAATATAAATGGGTTTGATTCTTGACTGGTTCTGGTTTCTAATTTTTTACTTGTGTGACTGGAAGGATTTTTTTTACATAACCACCAGCCTCCCACAGCATCCGGTGCCATCCCATGAGTGTTTTTCTTTATGCTCTTGTGAGTAGCAAAGTAATCCTGAAAGTCCTGTTTTGTATCAGAGAGGAACAATGGTCTTGTGGCTAAACTAGTTGACTGAGACTGAAGATTTGGGTTCAGTTCTGGCTCCACCCCTGTCTTTCTTTGTGACCTTGGGCAGGTCACTGTGCGTCCATTCCCTGTCTGCAAAATGGGAATAATACTTTCTCCTCTTCTGTGTGTCATGTCTATTTAGACTGTAAGTCTGTATGGCACAGACCGTTTCTTACTATGTATCTGTGCAGTGTTGAGCATAGAGGGGCCTGATCTGGGATGGGTCATTTAGGTGCTACTGCAGTATACATAAATGATACGCATTTCCCAGGTACGTTTATAGTTGGTGCACACACAAACTTTGAGCCTGGCTGCGTAGTGAGTGCAGCAAGGAGTAGCCGTGCATAAGAGAGTTCAGAAAATGGAAGGTTTTAATGTGTTTTTTGGTAAAGTGCAAAAAATAATTAGTGTAGGTCAACCAAATAATCCTTAGCACTAGTGCACATCATAGATTTCTGACTGCTTTACACAGGTGAGTAAAGAAAACTCTGTTTGACAGGTGGAGAAGCTGAGAGTATAGCTACACTGCAAGTGAAAGTGTGGTGGTAGCCCGGGTAGGCGTACCTGCACTAGCTAGCATGGTAAGTCATAGCGTAGATGTGGTGGCATGGGCTATCAACCCGAGCACAAACCCACTGGGGAGCCTGCTAACACATTCTGGTTGCTAGCCCATACCGCCACCAGTAGAGTAGATCTACATTCGAGCTGCAGCTGTAATTTCCAGCTCAGGGAGATGTACACGTGCTAGGTTTGATTGAGCTTGTGCGCTAAAAATAGCAATGTAGGCATGGGCAGCCGCTTGAGCCAGCCCCCGGAGTACATACCTACAGTCTCAGACTGGTCTCAGAAGCTACCCTGCAGGTTTTAGCACCCTAGCTCGTGTGTGTACATCTACCTGAGCTGGAAACTATGCCTCCAGCTGCAGTGCAGACGTACCTGTAGTACAGTCACACCTTCACTTGCAGTGCTGACATACCCTGAGGCACAGAATAGCCCAAGGGCACAGCAAGTTAATAGAGGAGCTAGGGCTAGATCCCACCTGCCTTAGGCTGGTACTCTGTCCTGTGGACAGACTCTCCCATGGAAACAATGTGACGTGGTGAAACACCTTGGCGCAGCTGAACAAAGGTAGACAGGAGGAAGATATCTCCAGACTGATAAACGGGTGCCGGTATTAAGGTCACACACGGGGCCTTCAAGCCCATAGTGAACTGGGAGCCATTCTGAATGATCGATTTGGGAAAAAATAGGGGCAGTTGTCTCATATGGGGTTCTACTTTTGTGCAACCACTTTTTTTTCCATGGGAAATGACACGTATTTTTTGTTATCTCTTGAGCTCGAAGATCTAGTAGCTCCCACTCGTTTGGGTGGAATAGCAAGCATGACTTCTTAAAAACGAGACTGAGGACAAGGCAATCAAAAAGTATATTTGTGCATTAATTTGACGTGCAGTTTCATTTATGGCAATACCTCAAACGTATGAATGTGGTGCCGTATGTCTTGTTAGTGTTAAGTGCCTTTAATGATGATGCCACCCTGCTGCTTTGTGGAGCTCTTGCTGAGATGTGGGCTGAATCTACTGGCTCCATTTGTGAGAATTATTGGTGACATATGATGCAGTGAAGAGAAAATTAGAAAGCTTTTTTAATAAGACAGTTATTTAATTCCTGCCTTGGTGTGGCGTTGATACTTGATGCATGCTTTTTCTTCGACTATTTCTTTTAGTTATGTTAACTCCAAACGTCTCTGACTAATCAGTCATCTGTTAAATCTGTTCCAGATTTGGTACCCCGTATGCCGACCTAACGGAATACTGGGCAGTATAATGCAAGCCCATAGTTTATATATTGGAAGCAAAGCGGGGAGTTCCAGAATTTAAAAACAGTTAATAACCTAGCTATTTAGTTTATGGGCCAGAGTCTCATTTACAACAAGGCTCTTTTATACTACGCTGGTAATGTAAAAGAGTCTTCAAGTGAGAATAATTTCACCTGCTTTAAGACCCCTTTTCGCTACCAGAGTGGTGTAAAAGGGCCTTTATGTAAATGAGAATCTGGCCCGAAGTGCTCGTGTTGTTTAGCCATCCCTTGGCATGGCAGAACCCCCTCCCCCCTAAAACAACAACATTGTGCTAGTGCAAAAGTGAAATTGCCTAGAAACTGGAACTGACCATTTAGTTCCAATGTCCAAGTTGAGAAAAATGCAAAGAGGTAAAAGTAAATTAGATGTTTACGGCTCGTTCACCTGTACATAGATAATCACGCAGGTAATGGGATTTGTAATTTGACAGTGTCTCTTTTAAGGTCTCTGCCACTTTCATCTAGTGAATTTGTAGCTTGTGTTTGGACTGTATTTGGAATTAGCAATGTTAACGTTGTTTTCTGTTTTCTTGCAGCACATGGTTATGAGCTTTAGGGTATCAGAACTGCAGGTTCTCTTGGGTTTTGCTGGCAGGAACAAGAGTGGAAGGAAACACGAGTTACTCACAAAGGCATTACAGCTGCTCAAATCTGGCTGCAGCCCGGCTGTTCAGATGAAAATTAAGGAGCTGTACCGGAGAAGGTTCCCGAGGAAGATCTTAACCCCTTCAGACTTATCCATGCTCCATATTCAGACAGGGCAACTGCCCTCCGCCACTGCACTGACGCAGGGCAGCACAGTGTGTCATTTGCCCTATGATAACAGTTCGGCAGCTTCTACAGTGCCAACGGCTATGTTGCCTCCGGTACCTATGCTGGGACCCAAACATGAGACCGATGTTCAGCACTTATCCCCGCCCATTCATCCGGTCCATCCGGATGTCAAAATGAAGAGGCTGCCCTTCTACGACGTTTATGATGAGCTGATTAAACCCACCACATTAGGTATGTGAATAAATTAGCTTTGCTTCTCTTTTCTACAGGACACTATTACTCAAAGGTTACTGGCTTGACAGCCCTTGAAACTGAAAGCTTCCGGTTATTCACAGACTGGGCATAGCATGGGCAATGAGGGCTAGTTTCCCAGACTGCTTTGCAAGGGCACATCAGCCTTGATTTTGAAGGACTCCATCTGTGGGTGAGGGCGGGAGTCCGATCTCCATGGCCCAGTCAGTCCTGGGCATCTCTGCTGAGCTTGGCTATGGTGTGTTTTGTGGTAGAGACACCTGTGAACAAATAACCTTAGCTAGTTCTTGTCCAACCAAAAAAATCATCATCTTGGCATTTCTGTACGACGCATAGTCCAGTGGGGCCTTGATCCTTGACTCAGTCCTGAGGTAGTACTGCAATTGAAATAACCACTGGACTGAGATCTCGTTTTTAATTGGCTGCCGAAGAGGTTTAGTTGCTCTTGTGGTTTTCTGGATTCAGACTAAGGATATAGTGAAAAGCCTGATATCTTCTTACCAATCCCTTCAGCCAACCAGTCTCCTGCATCTCTTAAGTGGATAATGACCAGTATACGTTTTTTATTTATTTTTATTTTGGCCATCTGTATCCGATAGAGCCAGTTTGTGAACTTTGCCGGGCTCAGACTGAGTTCTTCATTACAGTCTAAAAATCACCCTCTTTTAGAATGACTATACTGCCTGTGAGTGATCTATGATATTTCAGCATTCGGACTACGAAGCCGAGAGAAGGAATACCTGCTTAGTATGGGATGGATTCTCAGAACAATATCTTGAGTGCCAGGTGTGTTAACATCAATACCTTGCAAAAATGACAAAGTAAAATAAAAATCGAACAGTCTCTTGGGTAGCACCTTTAGAATTCCATGGCACCTTCAGGCCTAATTCTGCGTCACTAGACTTCAAACTTGTTGGCTGGTTCTTGATTTTTTTCTCCCTTGTTAGGATTATGGTTAACTCAATGAAAGTTAAGAGAAATGAATTGAAAATCAGCAATAAAACACCAATAAATGAAAAAGTGTTTTATTATGATAGTGCTTAGAAGTCCCGACTGGGATCAGGGCCATGTTGCGTTCCAACAGTGGACAAACATGAAGTAAGAGACAGGCTCTTCCAGGCAGGAACTTACTGTCTAAATAGATGAGACAGACAAAGGACAGGAGGGAAAGTGAAGGCATGGAGATTCTGAAGGTGAATAGAAATGGAGGACTAGGGGAAGAGATTCCTTTACGCCACGTGGAACTCGGAGGCCCATTCCATCTATGCTTGGCTGGCACGTTAGCAGTACCCCTTTGATAGGTGCCGCATATCTGACATGGTACCACTTGATTAGTCATGTGGGGGGGGGGGGGGAAGTAAGAGTTCAACACGTACAAATGAGCTGGAACAGTCTCTTTCTCTTTGCCAGTGGTGGGGTGACCACAGTCAGGGTAATTCTGTGGCAGTCTAACTTCAAGACCTTGCAAGCCCTCCTTATAAGTGTAAGGGTGCCAGTAAAAACAACAGTTGGGGGATGGCGCCCAGCTTTTCCCTACAAACCCCTTTGACCCTGGGATGTCTGTTCCTGGCCCCGCCTCTGATTAGCTGGGAGACATTAGATAAGTTGCATATTTGTTTCCCGAAGTGCTAGCCATTTTCCATGCATAACAAAGATACGTTATCTGTTGGAAAGAACTCTCGCTCCTCCCATCTGTAAACTGGGGGGAGGGATGGCTGTGTGTCTTCGTTGATATCTTTAGGATGCTCGAGCTAATGCTCACTGAAATCTATGGAAAGATCCCCATTGACTTCATGGGGTGCGGATCAGGCCCAGGAAGAGTCTAATTGCCCGTTTTGAAGCTGTAAGTTGTGCGACCTGTCCTGTTAACTAAGGTCACGTGTTGACGGCACAGCCTGGCCTGACCCGGCTTACACCGTTGAAGTGATTGTAGTTTGGATTCGGGTGTGGGTTTTTTCCCCACATAAATGTGGTAGTGTTTGCTGCAGGGGAGATAGGTATGTCTGGCTTCATTATTCCTGCTCTTGGCACAGCAAGATCTCATCAACTTGACGCTTGTTTTTTTTTAAGTATATTTTCTTGACTTTGGCTCCATTATCCCTCCCAGGCACCCTGTGATTTCCTTAAATGGGATGCTCACTCAACATTGCTCTGTGCCAAAATAATCCGCCTCCTCCCCCCGGATAAGCCTTCTTACTCAAATATTGATATTTGAATTAAAAATAAACTTTCTGTATGACTGAGGGGCGGGGGGCGTCTCACACTCATTGCACACACCAGGGGCGGCTTTTTCCTTCCGTTCCCTCCCATGGGCTCCCTGTGTGAACCCTCCCATCCCCCTCCATTTCAGGGATTCGCTGCAACCCCCGCCCTCATGCCAGGAGCTCTGTGCGAGTCCCGTTTCCCACTCTGCCACATGTCGGGGTTCACAATTTGTCCCTCCAGGCCAGGGGTTCTGTGTGGCCCCCCCAAGCCAGGGTCTCCCATTCTCCTCCAGGTCTCCCTCCCCCAGACCTTTTTCTCCCATTCTCCCCACCCTGTATGCTGGGGCTCTGTGCTCCCTCATTCCTTCCTTCGCCTCCATGGCAGGGGCTCTGTGTGTTTCTCCCATTCCCCCTCTGCCACATGCTGGGGGAGGTCTGTATGCCCCCATGCCCCCTCCCCATGTTACTGTCCCACATTCTGCTCCCCCCGCATACCAGGAGCTCTGTGTACCCTCCCCGTTCCCTCCTCTGCCAAATGTCCCCTTGCCCCTCTCCTCCCATACCAGGGTCCCACGTTCTTCACCTCCACTAGGGCTTGTGCCCCCTTTCCCCTATGCCGGGTGCTCTTTGTGGCTCCCCTTTCCCTTCCACCAATCTAATTACATTTTTTTTCCGTCTGGGAGGTAAGTCATTCAGGGTGTCAGCGTTTTACAAATGTTTTGGGACCCCGGGCTGAGCTGAGATGGGGGTCGGCGGGGTCAGGCTGGAAGGTGTTAATGGCTTCCATCAACCCGTTTTTTTGATCTGTAGACAATTAGGGAGGCCGCTGAAGCGGCTGAGTGTGATAGCCAGATGCAAGGGGCTCAGTGTCCTCCCCCCCCCCCCACTTCCCTCTTTCTGATTTCTGTTCTCCCCAAAATCAATAGAGTTCTGCCCTGTGATACCTAGAACATTTCAATCAATTCCAAAATTCTGGGAATATGGCATTGAAAAGTTATTGCGTTACCGGCAGAGAATTGCCATCAAGTTGAATGTAAGACCTCGATTTGCTTGGCCCGTTCCGAAACATGTGTAGTGCCATACAGGCATGTTCTCTGCTCCAGTGAGTTGATGTGACTTATTTCTAGAGTATCATGAAACTTCTTGATGCTTTAAACAAATAAACCCTGCGCCAAGGAGCTTACAGTAAAAAACAAATCAGTTTTCTGAATTCTGGTATCTAGCAAATATGACTGCCACCCCGAAAATTAGCTGCTTCTTTCTTCTAAACTAAAAATGTTTGCAAAGTTTTGTGTATTTTTATGTAGGGGACTTACTTCCTGCTTTAAGTGGAAACCTCAGTGCAACTTCAGCTGGGTAGCTTGACGGGCACTTTCATAATAAGGTCAGGAAGGGAAGAGTTGTGATAAGAAGAGGGGAGTGATTGAAGAAGTAGGCTTTCAGGAGAGAGTTGAAAGAGGAAGATGGTGGATGAAGTCGCTGAGAGCATCTTGGATATAGGGGACAGCATGATAGAAGGCACAAAACAGGAGGAATAAGGCAAGAGGATTGAAAGAATGTAGGAAGGGACAGCTTTGTGATTAAGGCATAGGCCTAAAGAATCTGGAGAGTTGTGTTCTGCTCCAGGACGAGTTACTTTGCCTCTCTTTGCATGCTGGAGATAATCTTGACCAGGGCTTAAACTCAACCGGAGTTGTCTGGAGCAGCGCTTGAGTAAATATTTTCAACCCCCCTGTAGTTTTTATAGCATGTTGAGGGTTCCGGGAAATACTCTAAGAAATTAAGCCCTGATATTGACATACCCTCCAGGGGTATTGTGAAGATGAATTCATTCTTGTTTGTGCTCAGATACTAAGGTGATGAATGCTCTGGTAACACTTATAAATAATGAAGAGATGAGACCAGAGATATAGGTGGGGTGAAACTAGTAAGAAAGGCAGTGAGAAGGGTTTTAGCAATGGGGCCATGAGGAAGAGATGGATTTTGGTGATATTGACAGAGGAGGAAGAAGAAAGGAGATTCAGTGAGGGACTGGAGAAAGGCCTTAAAGATGACGCCGGGATTGTCAGAGAGGCTAGCGAGGTTCCGAGCTGGGACAGAAGAAGAGTCCGAATGCAGCTCTGGCCAGGACAACGGATGCTCAGGCAGTCAGCATTCCTGCCCTGAAGACCTGAGTCTGTGTTGTGTGGCATGGCAGTAAAAAGGCATGGAGATTTTGTTGATGAGATGGGAATAGAAGCCACAGAGTCAAGTCAGAAGGACTCCTAGTTCATTCATTCCTCTTTCCGTGTGCGGAGGTTGCCACTGAGGGTGCCGATTGTGACAATTTTGTGATAACAAATGTCTGCAAATTGTGTGGCCCGGTGGGCCTGGAAAGCTGCTTTGCGTAACAAAGTTTGAGCACCTCTGTGTTATAGGATGGCTCTGAACTGAGCAGTTGTATTGGAGAGAAAAGGAGTGATAGGGAGACAGACAGTGGTGAAATTCATGGACCTTGGCCTAGGTCCTGCTATCACCAAGTTTAGCGGTTTTGCCAGACTTCAGCAGGAGCAGGGCCTTGATCTTGCTCCAGGACTGAGGAGTGGAAGGCTAGGATAGAAAGCGTTAAGACAAGGTCAAAAACCTCTCCAAAGAGCTCGAGTTTGTGCTGCCAGGGCAGTTAGCCTGTTTTTGGCGGCTGGCACAAGTTCTGGCAGGTCATCTGCAGAGGAAAGTTTCTGTATTTCAGACCTCACATTCTTCACATTCTTGAACTTCAGGAAATTGGAGAAGCAAGCTCCTAGCCCTACTGTGGATTCCTCTCTTGCAAAATATAGAGTGGGATTAACTGTGTTCTTGGGGAGCCAGGGATGAGGGTGGTGGTGTGCCTAGGAACGTGGTCAGTCCTTTTTTGGTGCGTGTTGCAGTATGTACTAACATCTGCCACTATTCAGTACGGCAGATTTGACATAACTATCTTGAATTTATGTAATGCCTCTCCTCCTAAATGTGATACCAGCGCTCTTTACAAATCTGTCTGATACCGTGCCAGTGAAACCACCTCTTGGTTGGAATAAACAAACAGTCCAGCTTCCCCACACAAGCAAAAGCAGTGCATGGTGGATGTACGTGGCGTTGATTTGTCCTGATCCAGAGGGATGCTGTTCATCTGGGATGACTCCATTGTGGGATAAACCTAGAGCGAGTGCAGCAGAGTGCTTTGTGTTTGAAATGCCTACAAGATCTGCTGTCTTGTAGGTTACCTGAGCTTATGTTCTGCTCCTGGTTTATTTTAGAAGCACAAAGTTTGCATTACTGGTGGTCTGCTACACTGAAAGCAACTTTTTTTTAAAAAAAGGCAAATTCCTCACTAGGATAGATTAAATGAAAATACCTGCACTACATCAGAAGTGATATCTCCCCTTGAAGTCAGTAGAGTTTAATTCTCAGGAGGACCATGCTTATCCGTGAAATTTGCCTCCATGTCGGTAACTGCTGTGTAAAGTACTTGATTCACCCCCTACGTATGTTTCTCCTTGTGTTTTGTATTTTAGGTAAGTGCACAGCTGTTTTTGTATTTTAGATTTATTTAGGACCTTGTCTGTGCCTTTATGCCTGGGGAAGATAAGGAAAAGGTCTATTTCTTATTAGGGGAGTGTGCTCCTACTATAATTACAATAATGACTATAATTTCCAGGGTAGTTAATGACCTCTGGGATTGCCTAGCTGTGTCTTGGCCCATAGACTCCTCCAACCTGATCACTAACTCCCAGGAAGTGCCATGCACCTTGGTCATTACTGCTTAGTCACGAAGTTGTGGTTAAAATATTAGATCAGGGAATTGGGAGGCGAGGGCTCCCGGATTCTATTTTCAGCTCTGCCACTGACTGACTGACTCTGGGTAGGCCGCTTTGCCTCTCTGTGCCTCAGTTTCCTCATCTTTAAAATGCTGGTGACAGTACTGTGCTACCTTTCATGGGCAATGTTGCTTGGTGTTTGTGATGTTCTTTGAGAGCCCCTGACTGGAAGGCATGTTAGAAGTGCACGGATTTAAGAATAATTGGTGAGGTGTGGACTACAATCCTTGTTTGTGCACAACTACCATTGAAGTCCATGGGAGTTATGACTAAGGACTGCTCTGTATTTATACTGCATGCGATGTGTTCTTACGTAATCGTAGATCAGCTTACATGTGGAAAGGGAGGGAGATTGTTTTTTTTAGAACACCTTGCTGACGACCAACCATCCTTCCAGGAGCAGAGAGAGCTCTGCCTTGCGTTCAAGATAATGTTTACCTCCTACTTTTGTTCTCCAGCAGCATCTACGAACAGCCAGCGGTTTGAAGAGGCGCACTTCACCTTTGCGCTAACACCTCAGCAAGTTCAACAGATTCTCACCTCTAGGTAAGCAAATGGCTGGCTGTTCAGGCTCTGTCTGCCCAATGTGCGCTGCATATGGCTTTTATGCAGGTTTTTCACTTGGCCTCTAATAGTATGCCAGGTCAGAGGAGGGGAGTGGGAAGGAAAAATTTGGCAAGAGGTTTGGTGGCTGAGACTAACAAAGACAAGGAGGTCAGGGGACGTGGGAAAGGGAGCTTGTGCCCCTGAGCACTTTCACTGCAATAACTGGGAATAAAATACCTGGGCCAGATCCTCAGCTGGTGTAAATTGCGTCGCTGCCTTGACCTCGGTGGTGCTATCCTGAAGAGCTGACTCCAAGTCTGTATAATGGGATTGACTTTGTGTACATATCGGAGTTAATGTAGCAACCGGATAAAAACGTATAAAACTGGCCTCCAGATCATGTTTGCATTGCCGGTACTCTAGCTGGCTTGCTTGATCCCTTTTAGCACATGAAACAGCTAAGCACTAGGAGGGGAATGGATTGGATGATCGAATAAGTCTCTCCTGATTTATTTACTTCCTCTTCTTTCTCCACCGTGTGTCTGTTCCCTCTCTTCCATTCAGCAATATTTTGCTGTACGCCCCTGTTTGGGGATTTTGGCTGCTAGCGAGAACAGAGTGACCAAAAGCAGAAAGTAGCTTTTACAACTCATGGGCACTTGTTTTATTAGTACTAAAAGATATATTATTATATCATGGTTAATGAGATGTTTATAATGATGTAACTATCATTGTGCCTAGTAAGCAATGCCAGCCATTTAAGAGATCTTTTTCTGTTGCAGAGATATCTTACCAGGTGCCAAATGTGACTACACTGTACAGGTACAATTAAGGTAAGAGGTAGAACATTTGTATGTCATCTTGATCTGAAAAGTGAATGACCAAAACCCTTTTCTTTGAGCTGCTGTTTTGGCTGTAACATCATAATTTTGGGGAATCAGGCCTTAGCATTCAGCGATTTGGATTTGCATATCTCAAAGCTCGACGAATTCTGAAACTTTAGGTGCTGTATTGAGATGAAGATCTTTAGATCAGCCTGGCTCGTCCTGAGAAGAGGCAGCCAGGGTCAGACACTGAACCCGGCAGAGTCATCGTGAGAATCCAGGAGACTGAGTGCATCCTCTCTCTGCTTTTCCTCCTTAATGTTCCACGCTGCAGCCGGCTGGCAAAATCGTCATGGACTGCCATGGGAGTTCTGCCTGATGACGATCCACTCCTGCTCTTTTTAACCAGCGTTTATGTTTCTATAGAACTGATCTGCACCTTTTTCTTTTCCTTTTTTAAACACTTTTTAAAAGGTTTTTTCTTTTTAAAGGGTCACTATTAAAAGTGCAGCAAGAAGCAAAACACGTAGCTTACCTTAAAACTTGCAATATTCTGTTCACAACTCCTCCATACTGTTTCTAAACTATTTTGCCTTTTTGTAAAGTGCCTATTATTTTAAATATCCCAAAGTGCTTCACGAGCTATACTTTGGAAATTGCAGCAGCCAGCTGTGGCGTGTTGACCCTGCATTAGCAAGCTAGTGAGCGACGTCCCTCCGATTAGAGGCTTTCTAACCTTCTTTTTCCTGCTCTGTTTGCTCCATTCTTGTACATAAACAGTACTGTGAAACATACTGGCCTCTTGCTGTCTGAAATGAGTTAGGGAGAAAGACTCTTGTAAATTTCACCTGTGTGACTGAGACAAGCATTGTATGTTGGTGGGTAGAAACTTCACCTGTATTTAACTCACCAGAGCTGGATTATTTATTTATTTTGGCCTACCAGTCTCAACCAGCACCCCTTTCATATTTTTTAGGGGTACAATATCTTCCATTAATGTCGAGAAAGAAGCCTTTGTACAACCTCTGTGGTGTTTGAATGCTTCTCTTTTGCTACAGAGAGAACTGTTGCCTTTAGTTGGCAAACTTTAATGTTGGAGTTAGGAATGAGAATTGTATCATAGGAGCCCCATCTGGGCCCAACGTTCTCAGACATGCCTCACCTTGAAAACTCCCCATGCCTCAGTACACGAGAGAAGTCTAACCCCTATTTTATGCTTCTCTTTGTCTGGACTGCAGTGGGATAGGTTAGAAAACAACCGGCACAGATTCTGACATGCTAGTGCCAAGGATCTGCATCAGTGTGACACGCCAGGGCTTGTCCTAACAAAAAGCAGACCAGTGTCGTGTTTGACTCAAGACTGTGGCAAGTCTCTGGTTTCAATGTGGGGTGTGGTCTCTCTTTGGCAGTGCAGCCTAATTTGAAACCAAATAAAATGCATGATCATCTGATTAAATGGGATTAGAATTTGAATGCGATCCCATTCTGGGTTTCTCTTGCTGACATCTTTATGCCTGTTGAAGGCAATTGTAAGATATTACGTGGTGCTAGATGAGCATTGAAAAAAATGTAAGGGCTGGCCTACACTGGGAATTTACATCAGCATAGCTATGTCTCTTGGGGGTTTGAAAAATACACACCCCTGAGAGCAGAGGGTTGGACTAGATTACCTCCTGAGGTCCCTTCCAACCCTGATATTCTATGATTATGCCGACGTAACCTCCATGTAGACATTGCTAGGTCGATGGAAGAATTCTTCGTCAGCCTAGCTACCTCCTCTCCGGAAGGTGGATTACCCACATTGATAGGAGAACCCCTCCCATGGGCATAGGTAGTGTCTACACTGCAGCACTACAGTGACGCAATTGCAGTGGTTTAAGTGTAGACGCACCCTAAGTAATAACTCATCTCTCCTCCTGCTGCAAGCTTTACATTCAGATAAATGTAATTCCGTTTTAGTTCCTCAGAGGGTTGTAAATTATTTTTAAATGACTTTAAATTCTGTTTCCGAGTAGCAGCTGTGTTCGTCTGTATCAGCAAAGCTTATGCTCAAATAAATTTGTTAGTCTCTAAGGTGCCACAAGTACTCCTGTTCTTTTTTAAAAAATTCTGTCGCTCCTTTCCCCCGGAAGCGCCGGGTAATTTATAGATGCTGCACCATTGAAGAGCACTCCTCTCTGGGATGGAGGGCAGCAACCATATGGCACCAAGCATGCTTCTGAACAGCTGGTTATGTGGGAATTTTAACTGTGAGAACAAGGCAAATTCAACTTTCACTCTTACCAAAGTAGCAGACAGGGCATCATCCAAAATATCCCCCCCACATGGGAAACTGAATGGAGCTCAGTTTATCTGCCATGGAAGGCTGACAGGCTTAAGACAACATGCCTTGACTTTGAACTTGTGGTTCTGGGGAGTTTCGTTTTTTCAGACCAGATCACTGATCGCCCCCACCTAGGACATGCATGGTGCACACTAGTAATTGGTTTTAGTTGCTGTCCTCTATGGAACTTGCATTTGGAACCAATAGATGTTCTGCGTGGCGTGTGTAGAATATATTTGTTGTATGTGTGACATTTTTGTGTACTCACATGTATTCCAGACATTGATATGTTTGGCTTGAAAAATGTTCTCTCTCTAAAGAAAAGTTTTAGCTGCCATTTTGTGTGAATATCACCACTCATTTGTCAGTTTCTCCCTCCTGCTTCTTAGGTTTTGCTTGTGTGAAACCAGCTGTCCCCAAGAAGATTATTTCCCTCCTAATTTATTTGTCAAGGTCAATGGAAAACTCTGCCCTCTGCCTGTGAGTAAATCTCGTTCCTTGCTTATGGGGGGAGGGGGGGCAAATTCTGCCCTCAAGTATGCAACCACAACTCCCGCAAAGCTTTGTGGGAGCTATGCATATATATCAGAGATTCAAAGTTGGCTCTAAGAACTGAATGGTGCCATTAGGATGTCATACTGATCTTGTTACATGCTGGTGAACTGGTTTAGAAGGAATAACTTACCCAAACTTTTGCCTGTTCCTCTAATTGAACACTAAGCTACTTGGTTATAACTTGTACTGTGAAGGCAGAAGTGCCAGAATAGCATAAGAGAAGTTGATCCTGCAGTAATTCAACTGGACCCAAAATGAGAATTAACAGAATTCTCACTTGAGAACTTGAACTGCTTATGAGATTTCTGGCCTACTTCAATAGATCCAAGTGGGGATGATAAGCACTGGGGCCAGGATTCTCAGAGGGGGTGGTGTTTAAGCTCCCATCTTTAGATGCCTTAAATGGGTCTGATTTTCAGAAAGCCCAGAATCACTCGCTTTCTGAAAATCAGGCTCCGTTAAGGAGTTTCAGGTTTGTCCCATTAAACCTTTGGCTGTTCCTCTGAACCGAGCCTTTCTGAGGTTAGTCTGTCACCACCTTAATATCCCAGTTTGTTGACCTCCATTAATATTATGGCTCGGAAGTGGCCTCTTCATAATTAAGTTTGAGTCCTTATAAAGCTTTATTTTAGTACCCTTATTATTCTGGGCTTGGAAAACTCCTTTGGCCTGGAAGTTGCCAGATTCCCCCCGCTGCAGTGCTGAAGGTCCAGGGTTCAAAGCCCTCTTGATGATGTAGAATAGGGGAATTTGGTTTTATTTTTCCTCTTAAAAAAACAAAACAAAACAAAACCAAAAAAACCCCAAAAGCTAGGAAATTACATACAAAAAACTCTGTTAAAAGATTATTTCAGTTTCAAAACCAAGCATTTGAAAGGAATGAAATGCTGCCTTTACCGTCACCTGTGCAACCTTCAGCTTCCTATGCCGAGACCAGAAACACCTCTTTTTTGTCCAAAATAAATAACCTTGCAGAGAGCCTGCAAGAAAGCTGCAGCCAGAACTGTTTGCTTAAAAGAAAACACTTTGTGCACGTCAGTATTGGAGGAGGGCTTGGAGTTGGTTGTGAAATTAAAACGGATCGTAGACTATGAAACTGACTCCAATTCCATTTTGTATTGGCTGTGGTTAAAATTCCATTGGTTTGCCTCCAGGGTTCTGATTGTTCAGGTGTTGCGCAGGTGGGGTGGGGGGGCCTCAGGATAAAGCCAGCTATAAAAGAGTAGGGTTTGCAATGTGTCATACAGGGCATTGACCCTATCAGGAAACTTGGTTGATCTTAAATAGCTTCCTTGCCTTTGCAGGGCTATCTGCCGCCCACTAAAAATGGTGTGGAGCCAAAACGACCGAGCCGTCCCATCAATATCACTCCTTTGGTGCGGCTTTCGGCAACTGTTCCCAATACGATCGTCGTGAATTGGTCCTCCGAGTTTGGCAGGGTAAGTGACGTGAAGCACAGCAGGCGCTGAGCCTTTTTAAGGCAAAGGATTTCTCCTGGGCAAGTAGAACCTGTGGCCTCCTAAGTCTTCATAATTGTCATTGTGCTGCACACCATAGCAACGCAGAACTGCATGGTGACTGCAGGGAGAGAGCGCTGGACCTCCTGCTCTGAAAGCATGGACTCCTACTACTTAAGCTAAGAGAGAATCTCCATTAGCTATTAGCAGCAGAAGGCTTATGACCCACAGATCAGCCATTCTGATTACATCCAATAGAGGGTAGTAGTGTGGCACCATGATAAATGTGGGAATTTTGGTAGTATATGTATTATCCCTGTGTATACCTCAGTTTCCTTCTGGTCTTTGCATTTCTATACACTGAGTGTAAAGGGAGGGGATGAGGTGTTTGACTCACGCAGCAGCCTGGCTGGAGACCAGTGTCATTGACCAACTGAATAAAGTCTACACATGTGAACAAAGGATCCTTAGAGACAATGCAAACCCCAACGGCCAGGACAGTCACATCTTGTAACCAACAGCCGAGAAGAAGGAGATTTCCCTCTACCTCTCCGCAGGGAAGCAGAGCAAAGGTCCCAGGCTGGGGAACAAAGTGGAAAGGTGTCAGGTGGCTGGGGTAAGAGCAGAGTTAGGGTTCTGACCTGGGACTTCACTAAAAGGTTCAGCTAGGTTGATCTAATTTTTAAGTGTTGACCAGGTCTAAGAGAGAGAGAGAGAGAGTCAGGATGGATTCTACAGGAGCTTGGCTGGGTGAAGTCCTGGCATTGGCCAGTCTGAACTTTTGCTTCTCTGCTAACCGCAGGACTTTGCGATTCTGTAGGCCGGGTGACTAATAAACTGTTACCTTGTTTTGAAAAGGCTCCCTGGTGTCACTGCAATAACTTCCTGAGAGCATGGCACCCTGAAGGGGTCGCGCAAGTCTCCCACAGGAGTCTGGCTTGGCTGGACTGGCTGCAGGGAGCCCCAGAGAGACACAGGGGGTGCTGGCACCCAAAGGCCCAGTTTTGGAGTCATGGAAGCCACAGGCCTGCCCCTGTAGAATTATGGATCCTTGGGGTCCGGCACACTAAAGGGGTCACACACAAGAGACTGGTTACAGGCTGGGGCATAGGCCAGACACTCGATCCATGGCAGCTGGTGGGAGAAGGGCAGATTCTGAATGCCAACAGGAGTAGTTTGCAATAAGTGACGTGCAGCAGTAAAAACAAGGTTAGTCAAAGAAAACAGCAGAAAATAGCGTATAGCCACCTCCCTAAGAAGAACATCACAGAGCTGTGCAGGGAGAGAGGTAAGCACTGGCAAGTTAAACAAGGCACAGCTGATTGCGGGGCAGGACGAGGAGGCCAGGAGCAGAGGTCCAGACCTGGGCGGGAGTCTGAGGATGGCAGAGGCGGTAGCCACAGCTTCTGCAGCGGCAGCTGGACATATGCAGGGCTCAGTTCCCCAGCACTGGAGTTGGAGTGGCAGAAGCTAGAGCTGGTCGCAAAAAGGCTCTGGATGGAGGAACTGAGGTTAGAGATGGAGGTCCAGTTACCCGGGCCGGTGCTACCATTAAGGCGAACTAGGCGGTTGCCTGAGGTGCCAAGATTTGGGGGCGCCAAAAAGCGGTGCCCCCAATTTTTTTTTTACAGCTTTCCTCCCCGAGCGCGTGGTCGCCGCTCCACTTCTCCCACCTCCCAGGCTTGCGGCGCCCATCAGTTGTTTGGCGCCGCAAGCCTGGGAGGAAAATTAGAGTGGGGGCGGTGTGCTCGGGGAGGAGGCAGAGCAGAGGTGAGCTGGGGTGGGGAGCTGCTGCATGGCTCCCTGGGGGGGGGGGGCCGGGGGGGAGGGGGGGGGGCGCAAGGTGGAAGTTTCGCCTAGGGCGCGAAACTTCCTTGCACCGGCCCTGCCAGTTACTAGAGGATTGTGAAACAGGATGTGGAAAAGCGGCTGAATGAAAGTCAAAAAGGAACAGTAAGTGGGGAGAGACTGTAGGATGCCCGCCCTGCAGGGGGTATAGGTGCTAAATTATTGGTCCCATTCCAGGAAGTGGTGGGGGGAAGAGATGTCTACTTCCCCACCTTTGAGAAAGTTTGTGAGTTGAACCAAACTCCCCCTGCAGACTGGCTGCATAGTGTCACTCCCTTACTGGGTCCCCAAATCACTGAGGCATATAGCCAAGTGGACTGGACGGACGCTGGGAACTATGAACCGTTCAAGAGAGCCTTATTGCATGTGTTTGACTTAACACCTGAGGCCTACGAGAAAAGGTTTCGGGGTGTGTAAAAGAACAAGGAGGTGATGTACATGGAGGTTGGCACCTTGATAGGCAATTGTTCCCACAGTGGGGTAAAGAGGCCACTCTGGAATCTTTGTATGAGGAGTTTAGAGCAATTGTGTGAAATGTGTCCCCTGGAGCTTGTGGGTGGTTAGCGGATTGGACACCTAGAATTCACGTAGTGTGGGCCGGTTGGCAGATCAATTTGTAGACAGTAGGCCCAGCTACCAAAGGGGAGTGCCTAAAGCATGGGTCCCCTTGTGGAGGCTCCCCAAAAGTTGGATTTCATTAACTCCAAAGGGGGTCAGGGGAAGGACAGCTGGTCCCAGTAGACCCCTGCCAACGATCCCAAAGACCTGAGGTGCAACTCCTGAAAAGGAGCCAGGCCTCCCCCTGCAGGGCTAGTGTGGGAGCGCACAAGAATTTTTTGTGGAAAGGCCTGTACAGACATTTGTGTGGGCCTGTACAGACATTAAGGAAGGTGTTATACAGGTACAAAGTGTCACTAGTAGTTGTTAAAAATCCCTTTTTACAGCACTGTACAGTTACTCCAGCCTTTGCAAACAGAGACGAGCCCTCTTCCCCAGCAGTTTGCTTTGCAGGCTAGAAGGCCTAACATCAGTCTTTCTGTCAATAGAACTACTCTCTGTCAGTTTACCTGGTGAAACAGCTGACTTCAGTCACACTGCTACAGAAGCTAAGAGCCAAGGGCATTCGGAACCCAGACCACTCCCGGGCCCTGAGTGAGTAGCTGCTGCTTTAAGTTTTTTAACTGTTTGTTACACGATCTCTAGCTGAATAGGTCTGAATCCTACCACAGCAAACTAGGGAAGCCCCAATTCCCATATGCCCTCTTGCAAACACACATACGCATAAGGTTACACATACAACCAGTCCCATTTTTATGAAAAGCATGAACTGCCGTCGAAAACAAAGATACCTGAGTTGTGAGTAGAGGGAAGGGGGTTAAACTGCGTGGCTGCTGGTAACATCATGTAAAAATTCACAAGGCTGCCCTCCTCCTTTCAAGCTCTCCTTAAAAACCCCTCTGTGCTGGGATGTCTGTCCAACACTTAACAATGATTAGGCAGCTGGTGGTTGTGCTTGGTGTTTAGTGCACTAATCGTAGGCTGGCTCACCGGTAGCGTGTTCCCTTTGTCTGTCGTTTCCGCCGGTTGTTTCCTCTTCAAGGTAGGTTGTAAGATCTTTTTTTGTTATATGCCCAAGGGAGCCCTGATTGGGGCCTGTAGGGTCTAATACAATAGAAATGATGTGTTTGCTGCCATAAACACTTCCTAGATAGCTAACTTCATACTATAAGATATATAATCTTAAAAATATCACTAACACTTTTAATAGACCTGAGAAACTTCTTTCCTTTCAGTCAAAGAAAAATTAACAGCTGATCCCGACAGCGAGATAGCGACAACGAGCTTACGGGTTTCTCTCATGTGTCCGGTGGGTTCTATACGAGTTCTCTATGCGTCAACATCCACTTGGTGTTTGCTCAAAAATGTCATGCGGGAACAGCAAAACTAATGCTGCTGTTCCGGTTTTATAAAAGGTTCTCCTCCTTGGGAGTCTTTTTATTAAACCAGCCCCTTTTCCCCATGCGTAAAAGTTGGCTGGAAATGCTGATCCAAACTTTTCAGCGTATACACCCATATGTATATAGTATTTTCTGGGCATAGCCTAAACTGGGTGATACTGACTAAGGCAGTGTAAAGTTTTCCACTTTCACCAGTTAGTATGTATGTGTGGGGTGGGAGATCCAAGGAGGTTCAGCTTTCCCATCCATGGTGAAGCCTTAGTTGATGCTACATCACATACCCCTCCTGGGCACGTTCAGTGAAAGGGCCAGAATAGGAAAAAATGGGACTTGTTGGTTTCTACTGGTGCCCCGTGGAAGCACTTTGTATCAAACCGTGTTAATTTCTCCTTTCTCTGTCTTCCAGCTGGGTAAGATGAGGCTAATAGTACCCTGCCGAGCCATTACCTGTACCCACCTCCAGTGCTTTGACGCGGCGCTCTACCTTCAGATGAACGAGAAGAAACCTACATGGACCTGCCCTGTGTGTGATAAGAAAGCCCCCTATGATAGCCTGATCATTGATGGGTAAGCCGAGTAGGTTTCTGGGTCCAAGACCAGCCTGGAAACTCTTTTTAGGCTAATCCCTTAATGTTGGTATGTACAGACAGTCCCTGCCTTGAACCACTTAGTCTAACACTCCCAGTCATTCCACATAGAGCAGCCTGACTCCTGGTCAGTACTGGCCTGAGCTGGACTTGGAAATGTAATTCTCTATATTTCATTTACCAGTCCCCGGAGCCCATCATGTCTGTACCATGAGCCCCCCTCATGTCTGTACCATCAACACCCAAGCGTTCAGGGCCAGGCAGGCTCCCTCAGAGGTGCGGGTCTTTTCATGGATGGCTTTTTTCAGCTTATGCTCTTGCTCAATTGTGTGACAGGTTGTTCATGGAAATCCTCAACTCGTGCACGGACTGTGATGAGATCCAGTTCATGGAAGATGGCTCCTGGTGTCCCATGAAGCCCAAGAAAGAAAACCAGGAGGTGTGCCCGACATCTACGTACAATGGGATTGAGGGTACGGGAGCTACGGGCACCATCTCTTTAAAAATGTCTTGCTTTTCCATAGCACCTTTCTCTGGAAGGGTCCAAAGCATTTCAGATACTTGAAATACGATCTGTATATGCGGGTCGCTGCACCACTGAAGTGCAGCCAAGAAACACGGCAGGTGTTTAACAGGGCACCGCAGTGCTACATAACCGCTTACGATGGGAAAGGAAGAAGAATCCCATGTCCAGTTGAAACTGCAGAGGGTAATTCTAGGTAGGCTGAAATTTAGCTAGGACACCAGTGTTAATACTCTGTTATAAAAAGGGATGACACTTTTACTATGAGGCTTAATGCTATTTGAGATCCTCGGATGGAAGATGCTATAGAAGTGCAATGCTTTGCCTTCAGCTACCTTGGCTAACTGCAGCTTCTTGCTTTCCCTCTCTCTGCAGCCAGCTCCCTTTATGCCGTGGGCTCCGACGGAAAGCACTCCTTGGAGAGCAAAAAGCAAGTGGAGGTCATCGACCTCACGCTGGACAGCTCATCAGATGAAGAGGAGCCTCCTATCAAGAAACAGTGCCCTGTCTCCACTGTGGCTATCCCGTCAGCAGTAGGGCCCAAGGAGTAGGACACGTCTTATAAACCCTTTCTGGGTTTTCCTCTTTGCTCTCTTTCCTGCATGCTGCAGATGTCACAGTAACAAGGAGAGGCAGCTTGTCCCATTCATAGAAAATGTATTGGACCAGGCCAGTGGTCTCGGTAGTCCTGTGTCCTGTCTCTAGAAGTCTATACAGGACGCTTGGGGAAAGCAAACTCTCCACCCTCGCAGTAATACACATTGCCAGTTGTATTGATACCATAGTATAAGGGGGTGGGAGGCACATCTCAGCTTGACCCTGGGCCATGATCAGAGCGTTCCCTGAAGCATGGGGATCGATAACCTGTGTCACTGTCTTAGATACTGCTTTCCTTTATGTGACTCCTTTTTCTAATTCACAAAGTGTGACGTCTCACTAACTCGGTGTAGCCCTCATTGTATTTGAGTTTCACGATCGCTTCGTGTTGAACTGGTGCCCGCTCAGGTATAGCAGAGTGTCTGGGGAATTGTACTGATTTCAGAGGCCTGGAATATGTAGCATGGGCATGACAACTTTGGTGGTTTATTTGCTGGTTTGACTGACGGACAAAAATGCAGGAGTTTGTATCAACTTTTGGGCATATAATTTCTGTGTAGAGCAGGACAGACCGTGCTTTTCCCTTGTCTGGTTTCCAAATGTCAGAAACCATTTAAGAGAGAAATTAATTTGGGCACTGTCCTCTCTCCGTGGCACGGGTGTTGTGCCCCTCCTTGGTCAGTCCTTTGTGCCCCTGGGAGGGGGTGCATGCCTCACACTTTGAGAAACTCTGTCTGATGGGATTGTGGCTTATATTGCTTCTTCAACAGCAGCAGGATCAGCCCCTGTATGATGAAGGGGCCCTTGTGCCTGTCACTTAAAGCATGTCTACACTGATATAAAAAATATATATATATAATTTTCCACAGCAGTGAGTCTCCGAGCTCGGATCAACTTACTGCGGATGGTGCTGTGGGGCTACAAGTGTAGCCGATCCCTCTTGGGCTGGAGCCCGCGCTCTGAAACCTACCCCTCTCTTGCTGGGTGACAGAGCCTGGGCCCCACCTGAGCAGGAACATCTACACTGCTGTATTTGACCTGATAGCAAGAACCCCGCAAGTCTGAGTCAGTTGACCCCGGCTCTAAGATTTGCAGTGGTGGTGATGATGATTTTTGCAGTGTAGACGTACCCGTAGTCTCTCTGGCCCAGATCCACAAAGGTATTGAAATCAGTGGAAGATCCTTTGCAGATCTGGGCCTCAGTTTCTCCATCATTAAAACAGGAAGAATGATACTGACCTTCTATGAGATCTACTGATAACAAGCGATGGATAAGAGCAGGGTGGTGGGATCCTCCTCTGTACAATGGGGATAAATAACGTTTCCCTATCTCACAGGGGAGTTGGAAGGATAAACACTAAAGGTTGTGAGGCGCTCAGGTACTGCCGTAATGGAGGCTATAGAAGTACCTTAGATCCAAGTCAGATTTTTTTGTAAGTGATTTTTATTTTAGCCGTGTATCTTTAAACAGGTGACCTCGTGTTCTTTCTCTTGCTAGTAATATTTGGCTTTTATATAGCGCTTTCCATCCGTAGACTTCAGAATATGCTTTCCACTAGAGATCAGTAGCGTTATCCCCATTTTACAGATGGGGAAACAGAGGCACAGATTTGGGGAAGTGATTTGCCCAAGGTCACCCAGCAGGCCAGTGACAGAGCCGGGTGTAGAACCCTGGTCTCCTGAGTCCCAGTCAGTGCTCTGCCCACTGCATGACGCTGGCTCCCCTCTGTGCACAAGCGGAGGGCATGGGTAGGACATCTGATAACGGTTCTGGGAACATGCCGTGACCAGGATGGAGGCACCCTAGTCACTGATAAGCTCTGACACCTGAAACTGAGGCCTAACGGGGCTGGGCGTTCAGGACAGATGGTGACGCTGCATCTGTGTCTCATTTCCCATGATGGGGTGGGGCCTGCCGCTTGGTGTCCAGTATTGTCTCTTGGGGTTTCTTCCTGGTGCTTCACTGTCCCTGACTTAAAGGGCAGGCTGCTGGTGTGTTTCACGCCCGGAGTTGTGGTCGCTTTGCTCTGCCTTATTGGGTTTCTGTTCCATTTCAGGGTGTTAAATGTTGATCACCAGCCATCCTCTGTGCTTCGAAGTCCTCCCATGGCAGCTATCGGCAGCGACTATCTCTCCAGCCTCCCAATCCCTGAATACCATCCTTCCTACCAGGTGCCCTCAGAGATTCAAGGTAAGGAGAGCAGCGCTTTCCAAATCACCTATTCGGGCAACTGTACCAGTTTACCAGACCGAGACCTCAGCTGTAGCAACCAGCGCCCGTGGCCTCCCAATCAGTTACGTATGATCTAACCCACAAAGGCACTTGGGCCGCTCTTTCGCCCAGCCTTGTAAGGCTTGGAGCAGCCTCATGACCGTTGCCGATCAGAGCACAGATAGTTGAATGGCAGATGTCTCTTAGCCAGGAAGCAGGAGCCTGGTGCGAGATTTCTGCAGACCTGCAGGTGAGCTCCTTAGTGAGGCAGAATAAATTAAAAGCTGATTGTTAGTAACAGAGGATGGAGAAGATCTACCCATTAGCTGGCCTGGTGGCTAATGCTTTTCATGACCAGAGATTTCCATTCCTGGTCTTGCTCCCGTGGCTGCCAAATGAAGGTAGCCAGCTCCAGGGGGGGAGGGATAGCTCAGTGGTTTGAGCATTGGCCTGCTAAACCCAGGGTTGTGAGTTCAATCCTTGAGGGGGCCACTTAGGGATCTGGGGCAAAATCAGTACTTGGTCCTTCTAGTGAAGGCAGGGGACTGGACTCGATGACCTTTCAAGGTCCCTTCCAGTTCTAGGAGATAGGATAGGATATCTCCACCCTGGAAGAGTGGAGAGATTTGTGTCCTTCAGTTGCAACCTCCTCAGGCCTGATCTAAGATTGCAAGGCAATAGTTCACTGCTCTAGAAAACCGCTTCCTGTCATCTGAATCTCTCCAAGTGCTTCACAAAAATCACTCGCCATGCCCCACTGAAGGAGACCTTAAAATTCCAACTTTACAGATGGGGACAGAGAGAGGGAGAAAGCGACTTGCCCTGAGGTCACACAGCAAGTCAGGGGCAGAGACTGGACGAGCAGTGTTCTAATTTCCAGTCCCCCACACAGACCACTGAGCACACTCCCTCCTCCTTGGCTGGTGGAACCCTTGCACGGTAACAGGCTGATGGCCTGTTAGGAAGCGTTGATAAACTAGCTGGTTCCTAGCTGTCTGGCATCAGCACATGGGTGTCCATTTCGGGTTGTACAAAAAATTTCATTTCATTCTGCTGGAATCACAGGAGGGATCTGAACCCACGTCTCCTCCCTCCTGGGTGAGGCCTTACTCGCCGGCCTAGAGAGTTGCTCTCTCTTTGGCCCAATGAACATTTAACCGTTTATGCAAAGTGGAACAGTTGCAACAGAAAAGACTGAGGGCAGCCCACCCCAGAGTAGTCTGTAGCATAGTGGGTGGGGTGTTCACCAGGGAGGGGGTCAATCTGAGCTCAAATCTCTGCTCCAGAGTCATGATTCCGTCTCCCCCATCCCAGGCAACAGTTTCGGGTCGACCGAAACTACATTTTTTTGGCAACAAAAAAACCCTCTTCACCCAGCTCTAGCCCTGAGCTTTGTGACACGAAGGACCTAGGGTGCATTTTGCAAGAAAAATGTTGTCAACACCAGCATCTGGGCCATTCCGCTTTGGGACATTGCCTCCCTAAATTCCACCTGTGGCTTCCTTTTGTAAACACGCTTTGCACTCCCCCATCCTCAGCTGCTTGGTAGCGTTGCTGAGCGCTGTTAAACAGCTGCTGCGTTCCACCCCCGAGATGGCTGCACTTCAGCAGTGCATGATGTTAAGGATTCTTATTTAAAGTGAATCCTATAGATAGTTGGCAAATGTGCTAGTAAATTTTGCCCAGTGATGATGGGACACGCACCCACTTTAAGGTTCCCTAACGCTGCCAGACGTGTACACGTGAGAATCTGGCCCCCGATGTATTTCAACACCAAGGCTACATGATCAGTTACAGAGGGCTTTGTAGCCCACCGGGGGGTGTGCACCACAGCTCCCCCCTCTGCCAGTCTAGAGAGGATCCTAGTTGTGACAACTGCAGCTCCAGAGCCTTGGCTTGTTAGCTCAAGCTGTAGCAGCTTATGCCTTTAGCTCTGAAAGTTCCCACTTCTCTCCCCGGTGTTGGCCAAAAGGCAGCATCATGGTCCGTTACTGACCTACAGCATTGAGGTGGATCGGACGTAACACAGTCTCTAAAGAAGCAATTACATCCCATCCCATTAGTTGACTCTTGAAATCTAGCACAAATTGGCTCCCTCCCCCATACATTTATTTACCATTAAGTTATTTTTCCCCTTTTATTTTTCTAGGTCTGGATTTGTTTACCTTCCTTCAAAGTGAAAATCAGGTAAGGTTGTTTGGGGGGCGCTGTCTTTCTCTCTCTATTTTTTATTTTATTTTTTTCCTTTTCCTCCCTGGCAAATCTGTAGCCCAGTGACCCTGTCCTTTTCCTCTCAGCCAATTCTCCGCCTCCTCCACTGTAGCAATCCGGGCCTGATGTGGCCAACTTTCACATGGCCAAGCACAGCCACGTGCCTTTGGGTTCCATTGTTGCCTGGAATGGTCCATGTGCTGTCTGTGGCTTGGAATGCTGGATTCTTGCTTTCGATACATGACTCTTCTTTTCCTTATTTGCACCTGTGTCCTTCACCCTGCCTCACTGCTCCAGGTTCTGGAAGGGGGTAGGGCGCTGAGTGGAAAATGTATCACGTACCTGCTAGTGAATCTGGACAAACTTGCAGTGCAGTTTAGAAAGTGGGCGTATATTTTTGTTTTTTTGCTCTCTGCCTGCCTGGCATTTGATCCTTTCACAGGTGACTCAGGGCAGAGCGGGTGATCGAGCTAGCTAGATATACCTTCTTCTGACTTAGGGGAGCTTGGAGCGCGATTTCCTTTCAGAGCTGGTACAATAGGCTCCTTTCACCTTCCTGGGCCTTGTCTCGCCACCACTGCGTGTCTCCTGTTCAGATGCGCCGTTCTAACCTGCCATGGCGTGCCAGCTACAGCAAAGCCCAAGCTCTCTGGCGGGTTATACCAAATGGGAAGCAGCGGGCTCAGGTGAAGTCTTGGTAAACTGGTACAGTTCCCCCAATTCTCAGGAGCATCACTTGTGACTCAATTCTTTCCTTGCTTGCTGTTCCCTTTCCCCCCCTCTTGGTAGCGCAAGCAGTGATGTCTGTTCCCCTTGCAGATTGGGCACCGCCAGCGCTCTAAGCACCCAAGGGTGTTTTGGGAGGGGGGAGGGTTTTGAATAGGCACCCAGCCTGACGATTGATGCCCTATTCTTTGCCTGGCAGCACTACAGCCCTTCCGTGATCACCTCCCTGGATGAACAGGACGCCCTGAGCCATTTCTTCCAGTACCGAGGCACATCTACCCATTTCATGAACCCCCTGGCTCCCGTCATGGCAGGATCCCACAACAGCATCAGCCCCGCCAGCGGGCGCATCAGCAGCATTGTCTCCACCAACACGCTGCGGGAGAGCCATGGGCACAGCGGGACAATGAGTAACAGCGCAGCTCTCCCGGGCTGCAGGCCGGACATCATTTCCTTAGACTAGCCCCAGGCCCAGGCCACGCTGGCATCTCGTTTCCCCCCAAGGATGGGAGAGAAAAGCAGACTTTCAGCAGCTGCTGTTGAGTTGGGTTTTTGTCTGGGATGGAAAGGACCCAGCCAATAACAGGTCTCCTAAGTGTGTGTCTCGGTCAGGGCAACTCCCCCGTTACGTCCAGCCTTGGAGCCTCACAGGCGGGGCTTTCAGTTCTGCACGCGCTCGCCTGAGCATACTGGTCCCGCTTGCTGGGGGGTGCCGGTGGGCAGGGGGTAAATGCTAACCTCTGTTTTTCAAGACCATTTTAAAACTGTGTTTTTAACTTTTATTTTTTGGTAGGATTCCGCACAAAGATCCTACAGTGATAATCCCCACCTTGGTGCTGTCCTGCTAGAACAGCATCATCTAGTGGCCAAAGCAGGACTTAGCAGCCATTCCCCCTCCCCCGGGGATGTCACCTTCTGCATCCCTTTGCACCACACCACTGCTGACTCCCTGGAGTGGGGTGAAGAGAGAAACTTGTCTGAGTCCAGCAACCCTCCAGGCATGGATGGAAGGTGGGTGGGTGTCTTTCAGGGAGCTGCCCGCTGCTTTTATGCACCAACACAAGCACTTTGGCAGTAGGGATTGAGCTGGATCTGGGCTCCTAGGGCATTCTTGATTCCTTGATCCTCTTCTTTGCTCCCCTCCTTCCCTGGGGAGTCTGCCCTCCCAACCCTGGGTTAGAGCATAGAGCTGGTGACTCAGAAAGAGGCTAGCAAACTTCTGCTTCCAGCTACCAGGCTGTGCCGAGACCCTCTGCCGTCCCAGGGTTTAAATAACCAAATGGGCAGGGAGAGAGATGCTATAACTGAGCCCAGATTCCAAACCCCATCCAGCAAATATGGACATTCCCCAGCAGAGACCTAGCCACGGAGCGGAGGGTGAAGCTGCAGCCTACGTGCACTTAAGTGTTCCCATTAAGCAGGTGAGCAGTTGGGGCTCCCTCCCACCTCGCCCTCGATTGTATGACCCAAAGCAACATACAAACTCAGCTCTACTGAGCGAATCCGTTCTCCAAACCCTGGTGCAAACCTCTCGTGTTTGTAACCGAATGTGCTCGTGGGTGAGAACCAGAAAGAGAAACTGATCGATCCGTTTTCAAGGAGAAAAGAGAGATTTTTTAAATGTTTTTTTTAAAATTGAACAACCTGTGGCATTACGAGTAGCGCAGGAAAGGAAACGTTAACTTCTTAATTATGAATGTTCCCCACCCACAGTCCCTTTAAAGTCAGCCATTTCCTGGCTGCTGTTTTAGTTTTGTGTCCTCATTACGACTTCCCTTTTTTTGGGTAAGAATCAAGGCAAAAAGCGGCCATTTGAATGGATGTCCCATCAGTGGCATTTACACATGGGTTGATGCAGTTCTTTATTGGGATGCTAGAGGAGGCAAGCGGGGGTGGGGTGGGGAGGGGATTCTTGCTTGCGAACCCTCCTGCAGATAGGACAGTATCGAGCGGAGGCGTAGCAGGGTGACTGCCAGGGCTTTTGTCACCCATCCATCCCCTCGTGGAGGCACTGGTCTGTCTCGGTTGTAATTACGATGTATTTTTTTTAAATGTCGATTTGTTTTCCTCCTCCTAAGTATTTCCAATACAGATCTGTACAGAGAACAAAGCTTTATCTATATTTTCAGTTGCCGCTTTTGTACATCCAAAACTCCAAAGACCTCCCTGTGTCTATCTCCTGAGGACTAAATGAAGGTTGTGTTGTCCCCGCTGCAGCGCCTGCGCGGGGACAGCGCATTGCCTGTTGCACAATTTATTTATGTATTTAAATGTATACCTTAGTTTGTAGCCTTTACAGCATCACAGCTGCTGCTGCGAGTGTCCTGCGTAACCAAGGTCTCGCTAAACTACCCCAAGTACCTACAGCCGAGTTCATATTTTTATTACTGTAGCAAGATTGGCACATGAGTTCGATGCATCAAGACGGACAAAACGGCATTCAGAATGGTATAATATGTAGCAATTTTTTGCACCTTCCCCCCCCCCCCCCAAGAACTTTAAAACAAACCAATTTCCCTGTATTTCTGGAGAAGGGTGGTCTGGGGTAGCTGTGCCCAGAATCCTACTGTGACTTTAATGGTTCTTGTATCATAGTTGTAGTGAATTTCTGAATGCAATAAAAGTTGTAAATCCTACTGAGGAATAGTTAAGGTGCAGCTTTACCTTGCATGCTTCGCCCAGGCTTAGTTGCGCTGATCATTTTCCCTCTGTTTTGGAGAGGGATGAGTCCACTGATGCTCTTCATTTAAAGAGCGGTCGGCTGGAAAATGATGAACCAGCTACTACAGTCTCCTTCAAAATACCGGCCCTCAGAACTAGCTTGCTTGGGACTTTTCACCTGAAAATCTCCCAAGTGACAGACGTAGCTGTCTGTAAAACAAGAATTCTCCTTCCCCACTTGTGTGAACTGCTTTGAAATCCTTGGTGGAGAAGTGCTAGGTAGAGGATTTGCTTTTTGGAAAAATGGTGCTTTGAGAGATTACTGGACTTTTGCAAACCCCTTTCTCTCTGCTCATCTTCCCAGCACCAAGCTGAAAAGGGACTTAGGACCAGAACAAATGTACTGTGTACATTTCAGTGGGAACATAATTGTTTGTGGGTTTTTAAAGTTCTGATGTTGGGGGGAGGGGGGATGGACAGACCAGCTCCCAGTAAAGGCAGATTTCTATACACATTTGTAACCCTACCCATCTGTCCTTTGTACTGTCTCCTCCAAGGCCAGTCACAGGCTGATCAACTCACGTGACAGTATAGTGGCTCCACTGTACCCTTTGAGAGGCAGGTACTTTCAATGTTACCTACAGGTGGTGCTTGAGGTAGCTAGAAGCTGAGACCGACATTAAGGTATTATGCCTTTACAGGGAGCGCTGGCTGTTTTCAAGTTTTGTACATACAAGTTGTTTGTGTAGAGGGTGTGTGGGGGGTTGGGGGGTAAAGGAGCATCTTGGGGTTTTGATACTGTCTGAAGTCCCTTAGTGTTTTATAAGCTCTCTCTCACACGGTAAACATGATCTAGACACCTTTAAAAAGCAGCTAGCCACTTTCTCTGGTTTATTTATTCTGTCCGTTTGATATCCAGCTGTTTATTATTTGCAACACTTTGTATTATATGCAAACTACCTTTTAGATAATAAAGTTCAAAACAGCCCCCCACTGTGCCGGTGTCAGTTACTGGTGGAGCAGAAGCCTCTGTTCAAGCTGGATTTGAGCAGCTGGGACCTGGGGAGAAGGGTGCGTTAGCCCCATTTTCCACAAGGGGAAACTGAGGCAGAGCCACGAAGTAGTCAGTGGAAGGTGGAATTGGAACACAAGTTCCTAGCTTGCAGTCCTGAGCTCAAACCACTGACACACGCTGTCTCTTCAGTGCACCCTTTGGCTAAGCAAGACACTTGGATGGCTAGGGCAGGGGCGGTTATTCTAATGTTACTTGACGTGTCTCTCCACACTCTGGCTTCCAAGACAGTGAACGACTCCCCCCTGTCCTAGGCAGCCGGGGTTTGGGCTTAATGCTGGCACTCCCACCTAGTCCATTCAGGACTTGCCTTTCCTTCCTGTCCATTGCTTCCTTCATAGGAGGGAGGGCCAGAGAGCGACCCCACTCCCCGTCTTCCCTTCCTGCTAGGGCTTGGAGCGGTGAGAAGGAACTTCGTTCTTGGCAGGCCTCGGCAGCCGTGCTTGGTAAAACCAGGTCCGAGGGCAGGAGGTGGTGACGGAGCCGACCTCCTTCGCCGGCCGCTCCACTCCCCAGCTGTCTGCCCTGTGGGGAGGCCGGGGCCTGGGATTTCGTTGCTCACTTGTCTCGCACGGCTAAGGTGTCTAGCCAGAGCTGAAGGGCAAACCTGGTCCCGGTGCTGACCCGTTCCACATCTTCCCCCGCTGCAGGTGCTGTGTTCAGGAAGGTGGCGGTAGGAAGTTCCGTGGGCCGGGCCAAGCACCCGCTCAGCTCCGTGGCTCTGGGTAGATGGTAATGGACGTTACTCAGTCACGCCGATGAGGGAGGGAGAACACCGCGCAGGCCTGATGCACGAAATGCCCCGGAATGGCCAGCGAGGGTTCGGCGCTGTATGGGCAGCTAATCCGCCCCGAGCAATGCTCCCCCTAGAGCAGTGGGGAAGGCAGGCTGCGGCTTCCCCCCCTCCCAGCTTTAATTGAAGGCAAGGCTCTAGTGTGAGTTACATACAGGGCAGCTTTCACTCCCCCACCCCCCCCCATGACTGCGCTGGAGCCAGGGCCCCTGCCCCTACTGGGGGGCGGTACCTGGAACCTGTAAAGCCCACCCCCCGCTTGTCCCCACCCAGCAGGGCAGGTGCTGACGGCAGTAGGAGCTGTGGCTCCCTGGCCTGGGGGACCATCTAGCCCTGGGTGAACAGATGAGAGAAGCTGAGGGGAAGTTCTGGGGCGTGGGACACGCCTCCCTCAGCAGCGGTCCAGCACGGGGGCAGAAGAGCTGCTGGTGTTCAGAGACACCCAGTGCGGGGGCCAATAAAGAACATTTCCGCCCAGGCGTGTTAACCCCGTGTCCGGTGGTCAAATCCCAACCTAGCCACTTCCATTCTGCCCTCCGGAGAGTCATTTCCACTTCCCATTGGGAAGCTGCAATGCTCCTCCCCAGACCTGGCTGCATTTCAGAGGCAGGGGAGCAGAGTCCTGCCTCTCCAAGGGAAGATCATCATTCCCCCCCTTCTTAGAGGAAAACAGGCCAGGCTGGGTTGGCAAATCACTCTCCTTACTTGATGGTTGGGGGGAGGTTGTTGGGTACGTGTCCCGTGTTCTCTGCTCCGTCCTCGACCGCCGCGATACACTCCAGAACATGGGGTTCCAGCCAGGCGTAGGCGCTCACCTCGCTCTCGTCCGCCTTGATCCTCGTCTGAAATCCAACACATGGCTCTGAGTGCCGGGAGCAGGGGCTCAGAGCTCTCTGGGGCTTGGAGTCACCACAGCTGCCCACCAATCGGGCAAAGGGCTGGGAGATAGGCCTCTAAGCCAGCTTGGAATCACTGTCCAACCTAAGGGGCGGGCGCTGGTCATCAGTCCGGTACCAGCAGAGAAGCCAAGGTCTGAACAGGCGGTGGAGGCTGAATTCCTCGAAGGGTCCCTCGCGCCCAGGGCTGAGGCCCAGTGCTTGTGGCGCTGTATGTAGGAAATCTGTACTGCCAGCCACCCCAAGGCTGCCTTCAAGATGCTGGGGTCTAGGGACAGCAAGCCCAGGCAACGGATGTACATCAGGGCACGTAAGAACAATTCTCAACCTCGTCTCTCCTGACCATCTTCTCCTGGGCCGAGCAGTCCCCTCCCTCAGGGGTCGCTAGTCACCCCCCAGCAATGCTCCCCTGCAGCTGCCTTAGACTGTCCCCCCCCAACGCTCTCGGGGGCGCTCACCTGCAGCTGCTGGTGCCTCTCGGTGGAAAGAAGCAACAGGTACGCGACAACATGGTGCCGCCTCGGCAGCCCTCTGCTCAGCATGGGCGGGTACACGGACTGTGCAGACGGAGAACAAGGAGCTAGGAATAGGCAGCCCCGAATGCCCGCCCCAGAGGCAGAAACCGAGGGCTGGATCCTGAATTCCTCAGCCTGAAGGCCTCTAGCACACGTTGTGAAGCAATGGAAACAGCTGCTCACGCCATCAGGGAAATGCAGCTGCCTCTGGGGTAGGGTGCTGCAGCTGTTAGCAACACTACACGAGCAGTTGGGGCAAGTCAGAGGTTTAGGGACACCCAGAGGATGGGGCTGTGTCCCTGGCCACCCTGGCTAATAATAGCCATCGATGGGGGACTTATCTCACTCTCTTGAACCCAGCAATACCTCCTCCCAACCCCTGGGACGGGGTGGCTCAGTGGAAGCCACTGCAGGGGGTGCTGGTGATTCAGGAGGGGGCGCTCGTCCCCAATCCCTTTCGTTGCAGCACAACGCTAGGGGAGGGTGGGAAGCTATCGCCCCCTAGTGGCTGGTCCCCAGGAGAGGCTTGAGTCAGCTACTGCTGCTGGTTGCCGAACATGGTCCCTTAGCCCCCCCCCGCCTAGGAGAGGCTGGTGCTTTGAGCAGGGACGATCCCAGATTTGCGCCTCTCCGGAACCTGGCGCGGGCCGAGCGGTTCTCCGTGACCCAGGTCAGGAGAGTGGGGAGTTACCTCCCACAGGCCCAGCATCCTCCAGGAGAACCCGCCCGGCTCCAGCCGCAAGCCTGTCTCCTCCTGCAGCTCCCGCAGGCCCGCCTCCAGCAACTACGGTCAAGGGACAGTGAGGTGAGAGCCGGCCCGGCGCCGCCTGCCTGCGTCCCACGTTCGCCTGGTACCAGGCTGCGCCGCAACAGCGCCCCCTAGCCACAGAACTCAAGAGCTTCACCAGCCTCTGCATGCTAAGCTGGCAACCCCGCTTTACAGATAGGGAAACTGAGGCACCGAGCGGGGAAGTGACTCGTCCAAGCCCATGCAGCAGCTACGTGGCAGAGTCAGACCGAGAACCCAGAAGCTCTGATGCCGTCCCTGGCTCTAAGCAGCCCCTACCCCCGTTCCCCTTTGAAAATCCCAGGGAAAATTACACTACGCTCAGCTTTATCCCCCCCATTCCCTTCCCCAAATAGGCACAGAGACCCCTCTGCAATTGCTATCCCCTCCCCTTATTCACCTCCCATCCCTCTCGCCCCGGGGCTCAAACTCCCCCCTGCTCCCCACCTGCCGCAGCACCACTCGCCCATTCAAACCAACCCCGATGGAATCCGCAGGGCGGGTCGAGGAGGTACCTGTTCGTCCGGCTCCATGTGCCCACCTGCAAGGGGAGAGAATCGGGAGGGGTCAGTGGCACAGTGAGCAGGTCCAGCGCCCCCCCGGAGGCAATGGAGATGCTCCCAGCAGCTGTCGCTTCTGGACCACGGTGGTCTCCCAGCCCATGGTGGATTGGAGGGAGAGGGCAGGGATTGTCTTTGTTCCGGGGTCTGTACAGCACCTTGCACCATGGGAACCTGGTCCATGACTGGCCTCCTGGCCGGCACGGATAACACACAACCGTAGCAGAAGAAACACTCCAGCCACGGCAGGGGCCCCCAGCAGCGGCCAATCTCCCGGCGGCAGCATTTTCTCCCCCTACCGGGCTGGTTTAACAAAGCATTGGGCAGTTTCATTTCCTTCCAGCTCCCTGCTGGTTAATTCTCTGCGCAGCCCTAGCGCCTGTCACCGCAGGATCTCGACGAGGCTAGTGAGTTACACCCCGGTGCAGTAGGTAAGGACCGCGGGGCGGGAAGGGGAGGGAGGCCAAGAGAGGGAAATTGACTTGGCAAAGGTCACATGACAAAGTCAGAGAATGGAACCCAGGAGTCCTGCCTCCCAATCACTCTCTTTAACCACTAGCCCGCACTCCTTTCCTCGACCTGGGAATACAACTTCAGAGGCTCAGTTCCTAGTCTCCGACTCTTCCCTCTAAACAACCCTCTTCCCCTTCCAATGACCACAGAACCCCCCCGTAACTGGGCCAGGCAGACAATGGACAGGAAACCCCAGCTAGACGCATCACCAGGTCCCCACCGCAGTGCCCGTTTCTAAGCCAGCCTCGTCCGCGTCCTCTCACCGGGGGGCACCCAGATGTTGGGGAAGATGCTGAGATTCTTGGCCCTTCGCGTGAGCAAGACTCTCCTGTCGACAGACTGCAGGATGACGGCCACCCCCACGTCCACCCCGCGGCCTCGGAGCGCCTCTGGCAGCGCGGCAGCCTGCCTCTCCTCCAGGTGCTTGATGGGACAAAAGGACGGTCTCTGGGGAAGGAAAAGGAGAGTGTGTTTGGTAACAGTCACACCAGCCGGAGTCACGGCAAGAGACCACGGCTTCCCGGATCAGGCCCGTCGGACCTTTCATCCCAAAACGCTTCACCAAGTATCTACGCGCAGCAGCTGTGACATGCAGCCACCTCTGGGGCTTAACACAGCAGAGGGGTCATTTTGGACCAACTCTTCTCACTATGCAAAGAGCGTGAGGAGCAGACAGGATCCGCGGCTGATGCAGGCAGTCACTAGACACGCCGCAGCCAATATCACATACCCAGTCGTGTTCCACATGGAGCCTCGGAGCTCAGAACCAGCTTGACTTCCCTTGGCAAGGACCCTGGGCTAAGCCCCTTCCTCCTCCCAGAAAACGCCATGGGCTCTTGTCCGTTAGTAAGTTACACGGCACTGACCAGCCTGGGAGCGCTGAGGATTTTACAGATATTACCCGACTGTTCTCAGCTTGCAGGTGGAGAAACTGAGGCACAACTGCTTGCCCAAGGCCATGCAGCAAGTCAGTGACAGAGCCGGAAATAGAACCCAGGAGTCCTGACAGCCGGCGTTCAGCTCTAACTCCTAGAACACACTACCTCCCAGAGAGGAGTGGGGAACCCAGGCGTCCTGACGCCCAATCCCCTGCTCTAGCCACTCAAGCTCACTCCCCTCAAGCCCGTCGGTTTAGATACAAGTGCCACCCCCCCGCTGCAGACGTCCCCCGCAACGTCCTGACCTTTAGAAGGATCCGGGTGGAGCCAGGGAACTCGCTGTCGGAAATGACAAACTGGTTTTGGTCCAAGCCGCAGTTGACCATCGCCTCGTCCTCGTGGGACGCACAGAAGTGCCCGGTGATGCTCTGCGAGAGAGAGAGCGGGGAAATCACGGGCCCCGTCTTCTCGCCACGCTCCGTGGGGGGCTCCCAGCCCTTTATACACGTTACCCGTGGGCAACAGAGCCCAGCAGCTCGGGCAGGATCCTCCCCGCTCCGGAGGGGAGACGGGACTCAGCCATCTCAGGGGCCAGGTGGAGACTAGAGGCCAGGAGTCGGAGAGACCGATCCCCTGCTCTAGC